TAATCTTTACATCTGTTGTATATAATAGTTACACATCCGCAAACGCTTTTACAAACAAAGTTCAACTTTTATGGCCTTAATAGAAAAGTTGAAGTTATAACTTTTAAATCTGCTAAGTAGGGGATAGCACCATTTTGTTTTCGATTAATTTTAAATCTTGTGTAGGCTGATATGAGAAAACCTAACAAAATCTTTGAATACAACTTTGACATACATGATTTACCTTCATCTCCCTTAATTAAATATCTTTTAATTTACTATTGACATTTTAAATATCAATTTTGAAGTTGCAAAAATACTAATTACCTATTCAATTAAATTAACACTTTTTTTTTTATTTCACTCTTCTTTATATGAAACTAGCTGTACCCGCGGGCTTTGCCCCATTTAACTTTTAAGTGAGCTCGTTCCCATGGCTCAATCACGTTCTGCTTGAAGTTCGTTCGCTACGCTCACTCAATTTTAGGTTGGAGCTCGTTCGCTGCGCTCACTTGCCTTCAGGTTAGCTCGTTCGCTACGCTAACTCGCTTCTAGGTTGAAGTTCGTTCGCTACGCTCACTCACCTTTTGGTTGCAAATTAGCTGTTGTCATAAAATGTAAAAGAAATAATAGTGCTGCACCCTGTTGGTAATCCTTGTAACTTAAATGCTATTGAACATAATAGAACAGAACCAACAATGTTTAATGTTTAATTGAAACAGCTGTTAAGATTCATTAATTCCATTTAAATATGAGAACTCAGAAGGTTAACATGGGAAACTCCAGAGCCACTGGGGCGGAGCCCGAGAGTCCGATCAGAATAAAAACAGCTTAGTTTTCCTATTTAATGCCTAAAGAATCAATGTACCAAATTTCAGCCTCCTAGGTAAATGGGAAGTGGGAGAATTAGTGATGAGTGAGTGAGTGAGTGAGTGAGTGAGTCAGTCAGTGAGGGCTTTGCCTTTTATATATTTATATCACAAATCCATCTTCAGTTTCTTCACTCACAATAAATCATTAGCAAAACTAAGTCAGCTGTTATAAACTTAAGATATATTGCTGTGCCTTATCAATACAGTCTTTTGAAATATTAAAGAAACTATATCTATAGGTACTATAAAAATTTTAAACAAATAATTCAGCATTAAGAGGGTTCCCTACCCCCATTGAAAAACGTCAGAAAACTGCTTCGCGCGGTATCATATAGCGATTCTAGTTTTAACATTTAAATTGTGAACCAAACACCATTTTGTACATAAAGAGTGGTTATACTAAGTTTGCTTTTTAAAAAATGTCTATGCTTACGCAATCAAGGGCAACGACTTGTCAAAGTTAGTGTACTTTACAGTTAAAGTTCACTAACTTTGACAAGTCGTTGCCCTTGATTGCGTAAGCATAGACATTTTTTAAAAAGCAAACTTAGTATAACCACTCTTTATGTACAAAATGGTGTTTGGTTCACAATTTAAATGTTAAAACTAGAATCGCTATATGATACCGCGCGAAGCGGTTTTCTGACGTTTTTCAATGGGGGTAGGGAACCCTCTTAAAGACAGCAGACAAAACTAATATGATTATCAAAGCATCAAGGACTAAAAAATATAATAGCAAATACAGTATATGTTTCATTGCATGTCTGATTCTACTCTATAAAAAATATCAACAAACAACTTAATATACAGTACAAACCAGTTCTTTTAATCAGTTCCATCGTCCACTGCCTTTACATTTTCACACTTACCATTAAGTTAACATAGTAACAGATATTTCATTGATTTTAGAAACAAAAGAACACTGTGTAATGCTTAGTTTTATGATATTTTCCTTGGTTTAATTTAATCAGTGGTGTGGCAAAACACAAATAATAAATGTATCAAATAAAGTAAATGTGTATTGAAAGCTATGTTAAGATAAAAAAGAGTATTTTGTATTACCATTTGATAATTAAATATAGTTACACATATACAACAGATTTTAGAACAAAAATCAACGACGTACAATTTAGTTATTGATGATAATATTCTTTAGTTTAATTTAAGCATAGGTTTAGCAAAATACAATAACCTAATTTACCTAAATATACATATAAAAAACAATGTGATGTGCACGTTATGTTTTGTTAATAAAACACAAGTTAAGCAGTTTGAATTTATTTAACGTAGCCTCCAAAATCATACAAAACATCTATACATTGTAATTTTCATACTGTTTCCATGAAAACATATCAATAACATTATTTTCATAACTTGAGACGCTTTAAAAAATCCAAAGCAGAGCCGGAGTTGATACAGCAACGGTTATAGAATCTTTTTTTCTATAATCATTGACATAGTTTTATAATAAATAATCCATTATAAAAGGTTAGATTAAAATAAACTTACCTCATGATTATGGAAACTATTATATTTAATTTCTTTGTATCAGCTGTCTGAAATTGTGAAATATGCAGTTTAGCAGTTCTTCTTGTTTACATTTAAATGTCAAAGCAAATGTAAACAAACATTGCTAGTGTTCTCATCGCAGCCATGGAGACCAATCAATATTTACTGTCCTTTTAAAATGTTCACCTCAGAACTTGTAAAGCCAAAGGGGCAAAAGCCTACTAGAATAGTCCAATAATGTTCTTTGTTGTGGTAGCTATAATTTTGTAAAATTTAAGCCCAGTTGGTTCAGTAGTTTTTGCACCTATTAGTAACACACATACAGACAGACACCATTAGATTTTTATATAATACTGTAGTAAAGATAATACAACATTTTCTTGATTTAACTTAAACATCACCGACTTACAGATAACCCAATTTTCGTATGGATGTAAACAAAATTGTACTATGGACATATGTTTTGATGTAAACAAAATTTCATTGTAAACTTGAACAAGTTCAGACGATTGACAAACAGAATTCAGCACAAACTATGCAATTTTAAAAGCTAATATGACGAGGTTATATGCTTTCACGGGATATCATCCAAACGGAATAATACAGTACCTCCAATTTGGAATTATTATTTTCTTTTAGTGGCAACTGAAAATGTATCTGACTGAATATTAATAACAAATTGTTATTTATTTCAGGATTTTAAGGCAAAATGTTAAAAATTATTTGAAGTTTAGAATTTTAATTTTTGGTTTACGTAAATGTTGAATACGGTAAGTGAGTAGATTTTTATACTCTGTGGTAGAACATTTTATTCAGGTTATTTCACTTCCAATAGATTATCTCTTTCTTTTTTTGAACTTTTGTTAAAATGCTACTCCTATAATGAATATTGCTAGATTGATTTTGTGAACTTAAAAATAATGAAAATCGTGTGCGAAATACTAAGACAGATATTCAAGGTAATTTTCAAACAACGGGTATACACATAAAAACGAGAATGCTTATGCTTTGAATCTTAAAAACCACTTCAGGACTTTTAAATGATAACATTATCCCTATTGCTATAACTAGGTCAAACAAACTAACAATTTCGTAACCAACTCGACCTCCCAAAAAATGTACTTTGTGTACTTGAAAAGAAATTGATAGTGAGTTAATAAGCAATTAGTTATATTTTACAGCTTATTATTTGTATTAGAATACCGCACTGTGTTGTTTATGCTAAAGTTGAATTTAAAAACCTTATTTGTTTACTTAACAGTTTACATAAAACTTAGTGTTTTAAAAAGTAAAATTCGTCTCTTGAGCTTGGCCACCTCTGTGACAGGTAAGTGGTAAGATTAGAAAAAGTTGACAAACACTTGACTTGAATAGATAAGCTCCTCCCCCACGGGACATCAATGCTGTAAGCTCCGCCCCCATTTTTTGCCCCTACTCATTAGGACCTTTGGTCAATCTGTATGTTAGAAACGACCCTTAAACCATTGGCCAATCTGTATGTGGCCTTGGTGATGACAGTATAAATAATCCCTATCAATCCAAATCATTGGTCTTTGCTGAAAAGGCTAGTGCAGTTAATATGTCATCAGTTCAGGAATGGGAAGAGTTTTGAAAAGTAGAGAAAATATAACATTTAACTCTATCAAAAGTCCATTGGACAGATTTTTTTTTTTTTTTTTTTTTTTTTAGAAGTGAATATTGTATATTTTTAATCAGGTAAAACCTCGGATCGCAAAGAAAATACAATCCCACACACTCATATGCCCCACACATTACTAAATTCAAATCCAAAGCACCATCAATCAAGCCCCTTTTCGTCACGTTGTGACATGTTCAACAGTGACGTTTGTACTAATGAGGGTTTTTACATCTAACGGCAGTTAGTGTCAGAGTCGATGACCCTAGTTTTGAAACGCGTTGGCCAAGAGGCACAGATGTCTGTTAACAAATAGTTATCCCGTGTGAATTAAAAAAGCCTAAAGGATCAAGGTTTAAGTATGATGAATGCGCCATACAAGCACGCGTGGAGCCACACCTAGGGGATGGATAAATGGAGCACCACGTGGGACTGACGTAAGGTTAGTAACGGTGGTATATCTAAATTATTTCCCAGAAAGTGTTTATTCGTTACAAGTAATAAGTAGTAAATGGTATTTTCAAAGACATTTGGTTTCAGTACATAAAAAAATAAGTTCATTTATTGCTTTAAATCCAATTTTATCTACCAGTATTAATATAGTAAAGAAAAGTTGGTTACTGAGGAGGAATAATTTTATTTCATTTTCTAAATAGGATTAGGCCTAAATAAATAAAAAATATGTGATGATTGCCAATTAGATCCCAAGCAAGGTTATACTGGACCCAAATGCCTTTGAGATTGGGATATCAATGGATGACACTAAAAGACTTGGGTCTAGACCGTCCTTTTCCAAAACCTCAAAATGTGTCATCAGAACAATTGAATTGTAAAATAAATCAAAAGTCCAGACTCTTGCAAAAGTTAAACTTTTATGTGAGTTTTGCGGTAATACAGGTTAATCTAGAAGTTAAAAATAAATGCAACATATTTCAAATTACGAATGAAGTACAGCAACTATTATTATGATGAGTTTTAACTACTGGAAAATGTTTAAAACTTACCGTAGCCATGAGGGTGAGCACGTAGTTGGTGAAATTCGCCCCATGATACTCCGCCATCCTACGGTCGGCCACCACCATGATCTCTATGTTGTACTCCTGCTGACCCACGGGCGAGCGCTTCCTTCGTCGTCTTCGGTCCTCTGGGTAGTCGCCTTCCATGCTGTCAGTGTCTATGTCATCTGAAGCAAGACAAGGTTCATGAAGAAATTATTGTGTAATCAACTTGAATTCGGGTATTAATATTTCAGAGCATTGTCTTGCCCTTAATTTTTTCGGGGTATTTTGGAATAATGTTTTGAGGAAGGCTGTATTTCGTTACTATATTGAGAAATGTGATTTTTTTACTAAACGGAATATAAATATTTTCAGAACAGTGCCTTTTGAGGTTCTGCCTTTTTGTAGCAATTGCATCCGAATTTATTGTCAAACAAATTTACTTCACATTACCTCTCACTAGCTCCATTATTTTCACAAGACTTTTAGGGGTCAAATTTTCAACATAGTAGTTTAAACCTAGAATTATACTAAACTCATACGAATCAATTGAGTACGATGATATCTTTAAAAGCATACCATTTCAATCCCTGTTTGATAACTAATTCATAAACTGTACCTACCTTTTAGTTTGAATTTACTAGTAGGGTTAGTAATTTCTTGCATTTAATAAAATGTTATGCTTGAATTACAAAGTACAGATGCAAATTTTGGATTTTCAAAAAGTGTTTTAAATGATGAAAGCCTTTGTCCTAATCATGATCAGGAACCCCGTAAAACATTTAGCTCACACCAATCTATGACCCCAGAAGGCTCTTTTTGGTGATGAGAAATCTGCATTTTTGACTATAGTAACTACTACAAACGTATTTCTGCAAGCAAAATCCGATAACGTCAAGGTATCTTTTATTTGTAACATACATCTTGAAGTACTGAGTTAAACACTTATGGAACAAACTATCCACAATCTACTCGTCAGAACACATTGAGCAACTCTTGTCAACACGATGTTTCAATGTACTCGACATTTCTCCAGCTCCAGTGGCATTGAATGCCTCCTGGAGTCCTGGAGTGCTGGAGTGCTGGAGTGCTGGAGTGCTGGAGGCTTTGCAAGACAGGTGTATTCACCCTCGCACGTGGGGGGTCATGGGAACGACCCACGAAGGCGTCATCGCTTTTTGAATTTGCTTTGCGTCATTGGTTACAAAATAATCGACGTTGAGTGGGCGGCATAACGGGCCTCGTGAGAATCTCGCCGTCATCCTAGGTATTAATAGTTGCCATTGGTGTTCGACTGTCCGATTGTTTGACACGTGTCGTTTGTCTTTGGTTTGCATAAAATGTACTTATAAATGTAATCGTGTTGAAGATTTTTAAATCGTTGATATGTAAGTTACATAACGTGTGTATGTCACTTAAGACAAGTTTAAATCCATATAGTTTAAAACTAAATACATAACAGGTCAGCGACATGACCAAAAGTAGTTTTGGCCTGCTACAAGCATTGGTGAACATCTAGGTGTTAAGCAATTAAATTATAATTGGGCATTTGGAACCAACAATCGGAAAAACACCTTAAGACAGAACTATCAAACAATATCATGAATGTGTGTATGTTTTATTTAATTCTTTGCGTATGATTTTTATGTATTTAAATCGTCTGTAGTTGAACGCGATCTCGGTTTCGTCTCCCAAAATTAATCAGTGCTGACCATTCTTGTCCTGTACCGGCTCACTACTTGCTTTGATTCACATGTACAGTCCAGAGGACTATGTCGACAAGCAAACAGGATAAGAGGCTAAACAGAAACAAAATTTAACTATATAAAACATAATGAGGCAGAGCTTGCGATTTTAATGTAAATTAGTACTACAGCCCCACCAAAAAAATACCTCGCATTTACTTTATTCATTAACTATATCGATATCTTAATGGGCCACTAAATGCAACCTATTGTAAACAAATAAGACTTTCCGAACGACAGCTTTAATGGGGAATCTGCGACAATTTACGAGGAAAACGAAAAGTAGGTGAATGTGTTACGAAATTGCTTTTAGTGTCGTCTACTTTGGACGTTGAACTAATAACATTAACTTTCCCCGCTGCAATGTGATACCAATTAAAGCAACAACGAGTGAGCTGGAGACGACATTCCCCGACACACCTGTCAGATCTCCTTGACATGTATCGTACATCAGGACTGGAACCTCCCTTCTTCTGGGCTAGTCACCTTTGAATCTATACTCAATATAAAATTGTGAAAGTTTGTGTGCTTGTTTGTTTGGTTGTTTGAATTTCAATCACGCATTAACTAATGGACGGATTGGGCTAACATTTGGCATGATGATAGCTCACATTCCTGATTAACATATAGGCATATTCTTATCTCAAAAATCCTTTCGCCCCAGTGACCCTGTTGTTCCCAATGTTAACCTTATGAGTATTCATATTTAAAGGGAATTAAAGAATTTAGTCAGCTGTTTCAACTAAAAAAAGTTGGTTCTATGGTATGCAAAAGAGTTAAAAAGTTATAAGATTTACCAACAGGGTGCAGCACTATTATTTTTTTCATTTATGAAAACTGTTAATTTAAAAAACTGTGATAGGCAAAAAGAAGTGTCAAAGTAGGATTGCTTACGGTTATGATTATGTTTTTAATTGCATGAATAAATTGTGATATTTTGCGATTTTTTAATTATTTATTTATTTTTCTCTATTGTTTATGTGAAGTGATAGAACATTATGGCTATGGTAGACGTGTAATACTATAGTATACCGTATATTTAAAAAATATTGTTTTTCAAACTGTGTCCTCCCCCATTGCAAACGCTAAGTTAGAGTATAACTGCAATAAGCATTTTATATGTCAACCCCGTACGAAGGACGGGTACTCTGCTAGTAATTGATAAAAATAGGATATGTCATATCTAAATGTGTGTTATCCATGAATTTAATTATTAAAACCAGTGGGTAGAAAGCAATGAAAAACTCTGACCAGTATTTGAACTAAAATGTGTAACAAGTTGTGTAAATTTCCACACACAAAAATATAAATTACATAGAAGTTGGGTAAGCGGTAAACTATAAGATGTATTTGGTTACGATTGTATCAAGCTAAAATATAATGGTTTATGGTAATTCAAACCCATTTAGAGACAATACTTTCTAACGAAAAAACGTTTTTTTTACACCAAAAATGTATGCTGAATAATAAATTTCCCCTAAATATGGTTTATTGTTGTTATGTACATGCATTTTATAATTTTTTATACTACTAAATATTCAATAACCACATCTGTCCTTTTTTATTTAGTTTTGGTTTTTTTGTTTCCAAGCCACACATTTTCCAGCTTATTTCAACTTTGATTGTTCCCTATCACTGCTTGGTCTTTTTTAAAAGTTGAGTACTATCCATGGTTATATTTTCATGTTAGTAGGTTTATTTCGAAAGTGTGAGTTTTTAAGAATCGTGTTAGACACAATTTCGATAAAGGTCGTGATTCAAGTAGAGTCCAAGCCATAACAATAACATAAGCAAAAAAATAAAAAATATATAAATGAGAACACTATCTTTTGAACAAAGTGTTTTCGACTTCCTTACACAACTTGGTGCATTTAAAATACTACTCCTTGACCGAAAGTAGTAAGTCCCGTCCAGTATGGTCTGTAAATAGCTGATAATTTCTTTCTGACGAAAAAATAACTTTTGGAAGCACACATCAGTACCCCAGTAAGCTTTAGAAAATTCTTCAACTATTGGTACTAGATCGCGTAAAGTCGTTATCCAATCATAGATAGAGGCTGCACCCATTATAGTTTGTACTGTACAAAGCAGCGCAAACCTTCTACTCATTTATACAAGATACTATGATCTTAAAAATCAAACCTGCTAGACCAGTTGTAGTGTTAAGGGTAAAAATATCAAATTAACGACCTTGCAGTGTTAAAATATCTTCTACACACTTCTCCTATCTACAGACAAGGCTGGAGATACAGAGGAATGTATTGAGGACTCTGCGATAGATAAGTAATGGATTTATGACTCACTTACAGTCGCTAGTCGGACTTTATTGTCTTGTTTATTTCTTTATCATGTCCATTACTTGATCGAGTATAGGTCTTCAACTTAGACCCTTCTGGAGGGGCTTAAACCGGCGTCGATTTAAATCAAAGTTTAAGTTGTTCAAGTTATTTTACATATATTTGAATAATGTTAACTTTATGTATGATCAATAAACTTCTTAAGACGTACCGGTACGGTTTCATACTACGAATTATATTTTAATTACTTTAAATTAATTAGATTTTACAGTAAATATGACAAACATTCATCAATGTGGTAATTTAATATTCAATGTTACTAATAATGAAACCTTTATTAGTTATAAATTGTCCATATAACCACAGAAAACGTACTACTAGTAGTACGTTTTCTGTGATATAACATAACGATTTAGGATTTGTTGACACTATGTAAGTATATGATACAACGTATAAAGGTAATATTTGACCTTTAATTGCATTTAATGGTTTAAAAACTATGATTTAAATATATTGATAAATAAAAAAAATTATAATATTTTTTCTTATTATGAAAACAAATAATTATTAATTTGTTACCTTATTCATTGAAATCTGATGACTATAAAGTATATTTAGTTAATGGAAATATAAAGTACATCAACTGTGTTTGATTGCCAAGCTTGCTTAAGGTATTTTCAAACAGGATTTTTAAAAACCTATTAATTTTTATTTTGAATCTCAAGAACTCAGATATGCTATCTATCATACGTATATATTTTTATTTTGTTCCGTAAGAACTAATTAAAACTAGAGCACATAAAATATTTTTAAATTCAGAAAATACCAAAATTTTCCTCCAAAAACTATTTTTATTATAATTTTGCTTAGTCGTTGAAAACATAAATTTCTAAGCTCATATTGTAAACTGAATAAAACGTATTAAGTTTAAAACAAGTGCGTATCAGTATCTTAGGTACATTATTAAACACTGGTGATATAGGAACATCCAACTCCCCTTGGTGAAAAAATTTTGAAGCAAGAGATTATGAAAGGTTTCCTTGGAAGCATATTATTTAAGCCTATCTTTTTTAGGGCTGGGGACTCATAATAAATCATTGTGAAATAGTGGCTTGCGCTATAGTTTCTTTTGTCAACTACATAGTGGGTTTGTAACTACTAACCTATGGGTTTGTAATAAATTATGTTATTGTGGGGGTAAAGCCACTATTATTTTGCACTGTATCAGATCAACCATTGACTAAACTGTATGGAGTATACCTATTCAATGACCCATCCCTAGTTTCGTTTGCTATATTCCACGCAGTTGCTCAAAATCCTCGCAAACGGACAAATAGAAGGTTAAAGGAAGCCACCACCCACTGTTCAAATGAAAAATATATGTTTTATGCTAAATAAGGACAAATCTATGGTATTTTTCACCACATAGATTCTAAAACTTGTGTAATAGTAACGTCCCTTGAAAACAGGTTCCTGCAGCACACGTCTGACGACGCGAAGTCGAAAGACATGAATGAACAGTTTCGTGGTGAGAGTGAGAGAGGTGAGAGAGAGAGAGAGTGAGGGGGGGTCATGAATGGAGCCATGGAGTGATGAGGAGTCTGCCTCAGGCACAACACCTGCGATCCCATGTCATTGGCATCAGCGAGGCACCGGCGACCGGCGAATTGAAATTTCGATTGACTCTCAATGACCCGATCAAAGAGCACTAAATAAGACCCGATATGTTAATTCAGAGTAGTTTTAACCATGGATGCTTTGATGTGGATAGGAAAAATATATGTTTTTTTTATAATATAGCAAATGCACCCATTGTGTAGTATAAAATTTGATTTGAGAAATAGGTTTACGTTTTGTTCAGCTGAAGTAGATAACCATTGGAACCAAGTTTTAAATTTGTGACTAAATCTCAAAGGGCCGATATCAAAAATGTAGATATTTACCGACAGGTTTTTAAGAGATTTCTGTGTTTATCTTAAATTGGTGTATCGATACAAAAGTATAAATGGGCATTCAAGTAACTGGTTTACGTTTTTAGGCATTTCATAGCCAAAGAAACAGGGATGCTGGTGTACTAATATTTCGATTCACCCTCGGATCTCAAAATAAATGTAATGTCTTCCCATAAGATGACTGCAGAGATGCTTCCAGAGGCTCATGTTTTTCTAGCGTTTATTGGATTGACGTTTAAATCTGAAGGCTGATTAAGTGGTACGATTTCGAGCAGGAGCGATCCTGGGAGTATGTACAATTTGCCATTGAGCTATAAATAGTGGTGATATTCGACAAAAGGTTTACGTTGGAAAATTAGAAGACTGGTGTTTGGACAGTTCATTTGTGAAAAAAGTAACTAAAAAGTGCTGAAAGGAAATACAAATTATTTTATATCATCATAGCTGAAACCATACAACCGACCTTGTTTGGATTAATGCTTCAGGCTTAGTTCTCCACCTCATAAACCGGTCTGTGCCTCAAAGTTTTGTGGTGCACTAATTTTAACAATCAGTTTTTCCCAAACTTAAAACCCATATTTACTTTTCTTAAACTAGTGATTTAAAAAAAAAAGAAAATTAAAAACCAGTTACCTTAACTATTAGAAGAAATTAATATTCGCGGTCTTTTTGACGTTAGTAAGTTCAATTTTTCTTTTTTGTAAGTAGATTATTGGCAGGACATATTAAATGACTATGCAGATAATTTATTTGGTGCATCATAACATATTGTATAATTTACAAAAAACGTATCATTACTTATCTGTTTACATTTCAGGGTTTTCTTTATTTTAATCTTCCATTTCAAGAATGAGAGTAGTTTTCTTTTAAATTATAAACAATGTACACCTAAACGCAATGAAGGCAATGCATGAAAGAATACAGATGAACACTTTAAAATGACTGATAGAATCTTTTAACGAATACCAAATTGAGTAGGGTGATTTAAGACAGTGCAGACACGAACAGACATTGAAAGCTGGGTACAAAAATGGGACTGATTGAAACCTCAAATGTAAATGTCCAAAGTGTTATTTTCAAAGACCTGTTAGAACATATGATACTCGCAGACCGCGATGTTTGACCCAGGGTCGTACACATGAGTCTCGTCTCGTGTTAGGCCGCATACCACATTATATGCGGTCCCCGGCACGGTCATATTGTATGCGGGAATGATACAACTAGCGATGCCGCGATAATGTCTTATTTAATGGAAATTAGACACTATAACATTTAATTTATTGGAAAGATTATAGTGATTGGTCGCTCATTCATGATATAATCGATGTTTACGGTGTAGTTCTTCTTTGAATGGAATAGACAAATTGTGAGGGATAATAGTTGTGGGATAAACATATATGTTAGAAAATTGAAAAGGGTTATCCTGTTTCTATGGAAACTAATTACTGTTAAATTATCATTAGTAAAATCTGAAAAACTTTATCATGTCTTAGGTTCAGAAAATATGTAAAGCTGTGCTGGGGAAAGTGCCATCCGCTCTTTTCCAAAGATGTATTAAGAAGAATACTCTGGGATTTCAAAATGTGAGTAAAAGATCGAGAGGTAAATACCCCGCCATACAACACATAATGTAGCTCATCTGTTCGTAGCAGAATAAAGGATAACTTTTGTGATAATACAGAATAACGCCACTGAAGAACGTATGAGCATTAATAGATATTGTGAGAAGAGTTAAATGGTTAAATGTCAAAAACTATCAAATGTGAGATCAAAAATAAAAACAAATAACCACGGCACGAAGTAGAAGATAGAGGAATATGCCCTTAATAATTTAATATATGGTGAAAAATATAAACCGAAGGAATATGGATAAGAAGAAATACAACGCAACATATGAGGTTTAATTGAATTAAACTTCAAATAATGGTAAGTAATTAGCCAAGCCAAATTTAACCAAGTTGTTTCACTGGGATCTAAAACTGTTATTGGAAGCATACCTATTCTAAGTTGAGTGTACATTGGTTATCGGTTGATTTCAGACGAACCCGGTAACTCTGACTTTTTGATATAGGTCTAAAGTAGTAGTAGCAGTAGTAGTCAAACTTAACGATTGTTTCCTAAGATTTTCCCTCAATTTGTTCGTGCCACCTGCCTTCGTCACGTATTTTAAATTTGACGTTATCAAAAGCTGTTTCAATAAATCTCACACGTTTATTTCTTCTTGATGGACACTGAAACTGTGTAATTCAAAAGGAAATGTCACCTAAAACCCGCCATTAAAAGATTCGTTTACTATTCTAAATAGCAAATGGATGTTTTTCAGCGCATTTGTTTTCAACCCCATAACGAAGAATCGAATTTATTGCAGCTCTGTCTAGTAGGTAGCGAGATAGTTACACCAGCAAAGAATAAATTCATAAATTGACGGAATATACTGAAACTGGTAGGACTGGGACACCGTTGAAACCTACCTATTTGAATAATTGACAAATGACGTTGAATTTGCACATTGAATTAATATGCGAGCTAAAACGCGTGTCGCTTCAACATTCCGTATAAATTAGCGCCTTCGGATTACTGAACTGACATAATTATAGTGTCCGGAGTCATTGAAATAAACAAGAAGTTTGAGGAAAGTTTGGTTATTATCAACAGCTCGTAAATATATATTGGATATGAATGTGAAAACTCATTTTCGATACTTAGTGGCACGACTTATTTAGCCAAAATAGTTCTACAAAAGTATGCAAATCTAGATTTCTACCTTTGAATACTGTAGTAGTTTAGAGTATATGCCTAACATGCATCAGATTATTTAAATAATCGTAAATGTACAGTGACTTTGGCCCATCGACCGTTGTAGAATAAACAAACACTGCAAAACCCTCTTTTCTCATTCGAAAATGTACTGAAAAAGTGTTGTAATAAGTGTTAGAAAAACGACTAAAATAATTTTAAACTTTCAGATGGAACAATTATCGTTCCTTTTCTATGGAATCTCGTACTAATCATAAAAAAATGCAGTGGTGTTGGAATTTAAACGGAATGACTAAGTAGTAGTCCATATAACCACCATATAATCAAAAATCTATTTATAATTTTAAAAAAAATCTATGTATTTACTGACTTGATGTGATTGATGAAATTTTGTACACGATATAAACCATTTGATGAAAATAATCGAACTCCAGACATTTTTGGCCACGTTTCGAGTCTTCGATCTCCAACCAAACTAGTAACAAATTCACTCTCTCAGACCCCCCTCTGTTAATTGAAATTCCGAATTGCCTGTTTGGGCTGTAGTTCGTGCCCGTGGAATTATCGGTTGTTTTGACGTTTCCTTTATGTTCTTCCTTTTTATTTGCAACAGCTATTTCAGAGTTGACGACGGGCAAAATTCAAACACGCAAGTTAGACATTATGTTCTTTTGTGGATAAAGTTATTTGCAATTTAAACGAGTGTTGTTTATGGTCATTTTGGCTCAGACGGTTTTGAATAAGCTATAGAAATGTAAAAGGATTATATAAGTGTCATTTTTAACCCTTTGTGGTTTATTTTTGGGTTTTATTTTGGCATTGTGTTTCATGTTCTAGTTTGAATTGCAAATGTGAGGGTTGCAGGTTGGATCCTAAATGAAGTTAAGTCTGCTGAAAGATGGTGATTTTCTCTGAGTTATCAATTAATTATGATATATCCTGTGAAGCCTACTGGTCTAGGGATAGACCGCAGGGCTACAACAGTCTACGAGATCCTGTCTCAAATCCAGCCAATACTATATATAGGCAAAGTATGTTATGCGACGGACGCGACCATCTATGCTTAGCCTGAAGTAATGTGTAAAGCGGTTGCATACTAGATCCTACGTCCTAGAAAGTGAAAAATAAGCTCCCTAAAAAGTTTGCCGTTAGTGACTATCAGAGACAAAAAAAAACATTAAAATCCAAATACACACAAAATTAAATAAAAATGAGTGTATACAGTCTACTATAAAGTGTATACTGACCATGGTGGGCGGGAACCAACGGGAAGCTTGTGGGAGGGACCCTGTAGAATCTGTGGACCGGCACCGTGTTGTGGTCTTGCCACTCTTCTGCTGGCTCTATGAAGAAACTGCCATTGGACGTCCTGATGTGGCCAGTCTGTAACATACAATAAAAGAAAATAAATACAAGTACCGATGAGACGACAGGATTAAGAACTAACTAAGTAAGAGTAACTCATAATAACTGCAGATTGTAAGAAAAGAATGAACGGTAAGTGACGTGGTTGTAGGAGTTGCATAACGAGGACTGCATAAACACAATGTTGTTGTTCATGCAACTGTGTCAGACACTGTGGTTTAAAGAGGTACTGTCACTGTTTGTGAGACTAAGATAGATGAATGGAGAGTGTTGTGGCCGTGGCAGTAACCTCAGGTGTAGGAATTGCATAACGAGGACTGCATATACACGATGTTGTTGTGCATGCAACTGTGTCAGACACTGTGGTTTAAAGAGGTACTGTCACTGTTTGTGAGACTAAGATAGATGAATGGAGAGTGTTGTGGCCGTGGCAGTAACCTCAGGTGTAGGAATTGCATAACGAGGACTGCATATACACAATGTTGTTGTGCATGCAACTGTGTCAGACACTGTGGTTTAAAGAGGTACCGTCACTGTTTGTGAGACTGAGATAGATGAATGGAGAGTGTTGTGGCCGTGGCAGTAACCTCAGGTGTAGGAGTTGCATAACGCGGACTGCATATACACAATGTTGTTGTGCATGCAACTGTGTCAGACACTGTGGTTTAAAGAGGTACCGTCACTGTTTGTGAGACTGAGATAGATGAATGGAGAGTGTTGTGGCCGTGGCAGTAACCTCAGGTGTAGGAGTTGCATAACGCGGACTGCATATACACAATGTTGTTGTGCATGCAACTGTGGCAGACACCGTGGTTTAAAGAGGTACCGTCACTGTTTGTGAGACTGAGATAGATGAATGGAGAGTGTTGTGGCCGTGGCAGTAACCTCAGGTGTAGGAGTTGCATAACGAGGACTGCATATACACAATGTTGTTGTGCATGCAACTGTGTCAGACACTGTGGTTTAAAGAGGTACCGTCACTGTTTGTGAGACAGAGATAGATGAATGGAGAGTGTTGTGGCCGTGGCAGTAACCTCAGGTGTAGGAGTTGCATAACGAGGACTGCATATACACAATGTTGTTGTGCATGCAACTGTGTCAGACACTGTGGTTTAAAGAGGTACTGTCACTGTTTGTGAGACAGAGATAGATGAATGGAGAGTGTTGTGGCCGTGGCAGTAACCTCAGGTGTAGGAGTTGCATAACGAGGACTGCATATACACAATGTTGTTGTGCATGCAACTGTGTCAGACACTGTGGTTTAAAGAGGTACCGTCACTGTTTGTGAGACAGAGATAGATGAATGGAGAGTGTTGTGGCCGTGGCAGTAACCTCAGGTGTAGGAGTTGCATAACGAGGACTGCATATACACAATGTTGTTGTGCATGCAACTGTGTCAGACACTGTGGTTTAAAGAGGTACTGTCACTGTTTGTGAGACAGAGATAGATGAATGGAGAGTGTTGTGGCCGTAGCAGTAACCTCAGGTGTAGGAGTTGCATAACGAGGACTGCATGTACACGATGTTGTTGTACATGCAACTGTGTCAGACACTGTGGTTTAAAGAGGTACTGTCACTGTATGTGAGACTGAGATAGATGAATGGAGAGTGTTGTGGCCGTGACAGTAACCTCAGGTGTAAGAATTGCATAACGAGGACTGCATATACACGATGTTGTTGTACATGCAACTGTGTCAGACACTGTGGTTTAAAGAGGTACCGTCACTGTTTGTGAGACTGAGATAGATGAATAGAGAGTGTTGTGGCCGTGACAGTAACCTCAGGTGTAGGAGTTGCATAACGAGGACTGCATATACACGATGTTGTTGTACATGCAACTGTGTCAGGCAATGTGGTTTAAAGAGGTACTGTCACTGTTTGTGAGACTGAGATAGATGAATGGAGAGTGTTGTGGCCGTGGCAGTAACCTCAGGTGTAAGAATTGCATAACGAGGACTGCATATACACGATGATGTTGTACATGCAACTGTGTCAGACACTGTGGTTTAAAGAGGTACTGTCACTGTTTGTGAGACTGAGATAGATGAATAGAGAGTGTTGTGGCCGTGACAGTAACCTCAGGTGTAGGAGTTGCATAACGAGGACTGCATATACACGATGTTGTTGTACATGCAACTGTGTCAGACACTGTGGTTTAAAGAGGTACTGTCACTGATTGTTAGACTGAGATAGATGAATGGAGAGTGTTGTGGCCGTAGCAGTAACCTCAGGTGTAGGAGTTGCATAACGAGGACTGCATATACACGATGTTGTTGTACATGCAACTGTGTCAGGCAATGTGGTTTAAAGAGGTACTGTCACTGTTTGTGAGACTGAGATAGATGAATGGAGAGTGTTGTGGCCGTGGCAGTAACCTCAGGTGTAGGAATTGCATAACGTGGACTGCATATACACGATGTTGTGGTACATACTGTGTCAGACACTGTGGTTTAAAGAGGTACTGTCACTGTTTGTGAGACTGAGATAGATGAATGGAGAGTGTTATGGCCTCGGCAGTAACCTCAGGTGTAGGAGTTGCATAACGAGGACTGCATATACACGATGTTGTGGTACATACTGTGTCAGACACTGTGGTTTAAAGAGGTACTGTCACTGTTTGTGAGACTGAGATAGATGAATGGAGAGTGTTGTGGCCGTGGCACTAACCTCATAATGTTACCGTTGATAATCCGCTTTATTACCAGGTTAAATATACCATTGGTCGGTTCTTTATTACTTGCTTCTCTAGTTTTAGCCCCGACGATCATATAAGTTATCGTTTCATCCATTGTTGTACAAGACATAACTAATTTACTTAATGTGTTTATTTTCATCCTAAGTGTTTTATTGCTCTTCCCCTTTGCGTTTTGCGTCACGTACATCTGTGCCCCCCAATCCCTTCGCCGTTGATCGACCGCTAACGCTATCGCTTGAACTATTTGTCAGAATTTTCACGGCAGGAGCGTGACCGCTATCGCCCCGCTCCCGCTCCTCGTGCATAAACGCAGCTTAGGCAGTTTAATCAGTCTTTGTTGATAGGAAATCTGTTAATTGTATAGGTTATATTATGGTTTCCTCTTCAATCAATTTTTTTGTTTACAATTTAAATGTTGGGCTATTACTTGTTAGAACAATCCTTTGAATGCTAAACACTGGTTATAGAATAACGAAACGTTTTATTGAAAGAAACCATTTCGCAATGAGGACAATGATTTATTTAAATTACCTGCAAACCACACTTGTGTTAAAAAATTAAACCTATAACGTTAAACGTAAGCTTTTATAAGTTGGTAGCTTAATTATCATCGCAGCACATTACAATTATCTTGAATTTTGTTAGTTTCAAGCTGTATAGGCATTTTCAAATTTACATTTTGTTTCTCCTCAATTATTCATCAAAACAACATGGGCCAGTTTGTCCGAAATGTGATCAGCTGTTTTTAGTACTATTGCGCGAGTTTGCACTGAAGCCGATCCCAAATAGTACAGGTAAAATAGGGTTTTATAAACAACAAAATTTGTACATTCATGAAATTTCACCTGTGAGTTACTAATAATATGAGAAACAAAGATCCGATGAGTCTCCAAAAGTTTGGGCGTCCTAAGTCCCTTTTTGGGGCCCTTTTTGTTCCGAAGGGCCCTTGTTCCTGAATAATTTTGTTTTTACGTTGAAGGTCGAGTGAGTTGTGGTTTTCGATGGTTTTAGTTATTTTAAATTGATTGGGAGTAGTTTTAAGTGTATTAAACCACACCATACAGGGTGTTTCGAAGTATTATTACTTTTTACGATATTTAAACATTTATTCATAAAGTAATAAAATTAGTTACCTCCATGCTTTATATAAAAGGGGATTATTGAAAATAATTGTAATTCTTTACTACGTAAGGGGAAAGGGTCACAAGGAGTAAGAGAAAATATTAAATACCCCCGTCACAGCAAACCTGCAGACCCAGCGAATTTCCGTTTTACTTACTTGATTTTCAATTAAATCTAAAATAGCATTGTGTTTAACGATTACCTAGGTTTGCTGCTACAAGGAGGCTAATAAAGTACGTGTGTATAGTAAAATATTAATAGCCTCGTATAAAACAAATAAATTTGACAAGTTTGATCAAAATATATCTATTAACAAATAAACAAAATCATTACACTATTCTACATAAGAATAACATGGGAATTTTAAATTTACAATTTTAGTATTTTTATCCGTAACTAATAACCATACAAAAACACGTTAATATACAAAATTATTTGTTTTTAAGCTCTTTAAAATGTCCTACAGAAAAATTGGGAAACTTTGTGTTTTGAGGGTAAAGTAAATAAGAAAATCAAATTTTTACCCCATAAACCTCGATCCCATTATTCAGGACAAAAATTCTTGTACCGACAATGCTGCTCTGATGTCTTAGTGCTGTCCTGGTTGTCATAACCACGAAAGATAACCGTACTTGTATCGATTGAAAATAAGTTTGAGGAACTTAAGTTACAAGTTGCAAACGTCAGTATGTATGAAAGGTGTTTAGGCACCACATTGTTCGTGCTTTAAGATTGGTGTTGCCTGTTCTGCAATATGCAAGTTTTTAGGTTTGTAAAGGGGAATCCTGATTGAACACCAACTTGGACAAAATCAGTAAAGATGGACGAGTTGCTAAGAATAACAAAATTATTGATGAGTCGTCTGAGAATAATTATTGTGATGATGAAATTGTAAAGACAGATACTACGGAAATTGTAGAAAAATAGCTTTAGTTTAAGTACTTCATTTTATTATGTAATGTAAGGTTTCATAAAAATACAATTGTTTTAATTTTTAATAAATGTAAAAAAAATAACTTAAATAACTACCTAAGAAAAATACATATCAATTTGAAATTGGTCTTAATAGATTTGCATAAAAAACACGTTGAAAGATTATTCACACCACCTTAAAAGTTGAAATTTTTGCTTAGTAACCTATGTTATTATGTTTCCGAAGGTCTTATGGTAAAGCATAGACCCGAAACCGATTTACGTTTTC